ATATTCGTTATATTTAATTTTTTCATTCATATTTAAATATCTTATTTAAATATTGTCACATAAATAAGCATTAAAATAGTTATATAAAATAAAAATAAAAATAAAATAGTGTTCAGTTATTTTCGAAATCGTATTCGTTATGCTTACGGCAAAGGATTTTGCAGCATTTATTGATGAAAATATCAAATATTCACATTATTTAATTGCATTAAGCATTATTATTAAAATGCCGGCTTTTCATTTACATTAGCTAATGTATTGTAAAATTCTGTTTTAAAGATGTTGTTTTAAAAAACTTATAAACACTGTTCTTCTTAAATAGTTTCTCGCATATCAAGTTGTTATATAAATTATGAAAATTTTCGAAGAAAGCTTTTAATTTATTACAAAACGATAATTCGGCAATATTTATATTTATTGGCGTAAAAGTAATATGCACCAATCAATAATAAACCAAATAAAAATTCATGTTACTAACGATAATTTAATCAAATCACATTGATTGAGAAGTTTTTTTTTTAATTGAAAATCTGTATGTAATCAATTTAACATCTGAGCTTTATTTGTAGCTTTCGGGTATAAATATTTTTACAATGTTTTTAACCTGACAGCGACGTTTGGCAATTTTTGCGAACGGATGAATTATAACTTTACTAAATCAGGACATGTTTCGAAGTTTTATGAATATTATTAATCTCTTCGATAAAAGATAAAAGTATCGTTAAACATTATAAAGCGTACGTGTGCCTATGCATGCAGATTCAATGAAATTTATATATGACTAATAAAATAAAAATAAGATAGCCATTGAGCGTGCATGTGGAATGTCATTTCAGTGTTTAATTTCAGATAATATTGTTCCAAATGCACAATATTTTATACTTTACCACGACGATTTTACGTAAATTATGAAGAACGATTCATACTCCGTGATAATGAAGGTGAAACCTAAGCAAGGAATCAACCTTCCCCGTTCCCGCGCTACTCTCCCTCAGCTGCAGATTAATTAAACTCCAGCGATAAACGCAATGACGTCAGAAGAGTTCCTTCTTTCCACGTTACGCACTCGTCGATATGCTTCGGGACATCCAATCGCAGTGCTGCCCTCCCTTGAAAACGCGTAATGCATGATATCGAACCCCCAATTATCTTCCCAGTGACTCGTCGCCTCGTCCTCCTCCTCCTCCTCCTTCTCCTCCTCCTCCTCCTAACACCCCCCCCCGGCCACGACCTCTCAGCCGCTTCGTTCACCAAAGCCGAAACATCATCGTAACGCCCACGTACCAAAGTCTCGCCCCCTCCCGCCGCCGATACTTTCCGATAGATGGACACTTGGCAGTTTGCGTCGATGACGGCTATGCTCCGCAATAACCGCAGTCTTAATAACTAAGCCGAGCAGGTAAACATTTGCACTTCCAATCCCCCTTGACTTATTTTCTCATATAATGGATTGCATCATAATTAATTGTTGGCTTTTGTAGTAACTGACAGACATTGTAAAAGCGAAAGCTAAATTAAAAAAAAAAAAGGATTGAGCCAACTCGGCTGAAAAGTTCTGCTGCCCCTCCTTCGCGCTGAGCTCCCACGAGTTCCGTTCGAATCAAAGAATTTCATAAAGCTAAGGACATATTCTACTTAAATATTATGATCGTCGATATCGCCGTTTATTCAATACTATCCGTTATAATTAGTAGCGTCTATCATTGACTCTGTAAAACTATTAATTCACGAAATTGGCTGCTTTTATCAGCCATACAGCATTTTACAATAAATAAATTTAATTTAAATTAATAATTCGTCCTTTTAAGACTACATTAACGTAATAGTTATAAATGTCAATTGTTTCGGGCTGCCTTAGCATCGACAATGAGCTTTGAGACAGTTCTTCTTTTATTAATTAGATTACAATTATATTATTTTTAAAGCAATGCATTCGCGTGAATAATGTTATATAATAAATTTAACAAACACGAAATTGAATCATGGAAGGTATAGCGAGAGAGAAAAATTATATTTACATACATGTATGTATATATATATATATATATATATATATTATTCGTTTTTTTAATTATTATCATGTTGATTTTCAGTACGTACATATTTTTAGTCAACAATAAAGAAAGTAAAATTATGAAAATTACAATTTTATTTCTCAATATACTTATAATGCAACAGAAAAAATAATTGTAAATATTTTTTACAAATGAGATTTTTGATATTTACATTTTCATGAAATTGAATTAATAAGTAAATAAATAATTTCTAACTTAAAATACTTACTTTAAATTATTACTTTCGTTACATATTGTTCATTATTTGATCAATGTTAAAAAATATATAAATGTTAGTTAATCTTGAAATAATATATAAATATGTTTTTTCGTAATCAAAGATCATTGTACCACATTAAAAAAAAAAAAAAAAAAAAAAATGTAATTCCTTATATCAAGAATGTATGTATCGTTCGTATAAACTCGACGGAAGTGGAGTTCTTAATTAAAGCAAAATTAATGAATTTATCTTACTAATTTTATACGAAATAAGTTTGAATTTCAAAATGCATTGGATATTCTTAATATATCGCTTCTAACGACATCGTATAATTCCAGTCTCCGAAATCAGATCTGCAAAACTTCTTATGACCATATGACGACGCAACATTCGCTCGTCACCTATAATTCTTCTAATTACTGGAATAAAATGTATTATCATTTTAAAGCTCTAAGGTTGATTGACCTTCTGGCATGCTCTCTCTCTCTCTCTCTCTCTCTCTCTCTCTCTCTCGGAAAATCGACCGACACGCGATGATTGCGAAGCATTCGATGGCATATCTGGGCACATTGTTCGTCGCTCGCCTACGTCCTGCTCATATTGCCTTGCCTGACCTCATCGAAAGTCTGTCGCGGATAGGCAAAGGACAGCCGGCATTTTCCGCCGATCCGTCGGTCGGATGTACGCGCAACAAACGGACACATCCGCGCTTCCGTCAGTCCTTCCCCTGCCCGTCCAACAACACAAGACTCGCCGTACACGACTCGGCTACGAGGGGTGGGGATAGATAGTCGTCGGGGAGGCGGAGCGTATATCCTTGCCGAGGCCACACCTCCGGGCGCCCAGATCATGGGATAAACGGTGCGTCGGAGCTTTGCTCGATCGCGATTAACGTCTCTCTTTCTTGCGCCGTATCAAAGAGGACTCCAGCAGTCTCTCGCGATACGTAGCGTCGAAGCCATTGGCGGAATAATTTTGCCACTTTTTCCACTTTCTTCTATTACTAAGTCTCGGCTAATTTATCACTTATTGCCGTGTGACAGGGTCCGTGTGATGGCGCTTCGTTATATAGGCTTCACAAGACAATGGGGAGGAGGCGGGGGGGAGTTGAGTGAAGGCTAGAAAAATTTGGAAATTATTTTACTTTTAGAATGCAGAAAATTATATGTAGATATACGCCTTCTAAGCACATTAATCTTTGTTTTTTTACTTTATTTGCTTTTTTTTTTGTTCTTTATTGATAATTTAATGGCATTGTGTAGGATGAAAATTGTGCGATATTAAAGCTTTTTACATTGAATTTATTTACAGTAAAATTTTATGTGAAATGTAAAATGAAAAGAGGACTGACTTTTATGTCTGCAGGTACATTTGACGAATTTTGAATTATAGTAAATGTAGAAATAAAGCAAAGAGTATAAAGTATCGTTGTGCAAATTATAACTGTAATTTAAGATATAACGAATACGCTATGCCGTGAATTATTTCATTTGGATTAATGATTATTTAATTGTAGGGTGAGAGTCTTTAGATTCGTGAAAGAAAACACTGCGTGAAACAAATATCTGTGGCTTAATGTTTTAATAGATTTGTTTAAAAAATGTCTTATGCATTTTTTTGTGAAAAAATAAGTTGAATAATAACAGATCGATATAACCACCCTACCCTTCTCACCTCTGAAAGACGAAAAAATAACAGAACGTGTTCATCGGTACAAAATAATATAAATACCGAGTTAACGGATTAATTTTATACGCTATTCAGAGAAACTTTGTAAATAATTATATTCCATTTGATAATTACAAAAGAAAAAAGAAAAGAAAAGAAAAAAAATTAAAATAAATTAAAGAGAAGCCATAATAGAATATATGACGTTTAAATAATAAAGTCTTGCTTAATGACATTTAATAATACTTGCAATAATCGTCACATCAACTACAAAGTTAAAATGATTAAGTATAGGTGAATTCTACATATTCAGAATAGCACGCACATATGTATATTACTGGGCTACGGCTCTGAAATCTCCTAATCATTGTGCATCAAGTGTCTTGCCCTGTCACGCTCACGTCAAAGAAAAAAAAAAGGAGAGACGGAATCGACTGCAAGCCGATGCAAGAAGAAGTTTATGCATCGGGCTGCAGCACGAGCCTCGCACGAGGCTAGTAGGCGTCAACGACACCATCGTCGCCACGCCCACTCCGACCCGCGTCCGATTTTCTCCGCACCCTTTACGAGCATCGGAGTGAGAGAGTGAGTGAGAGTGAGAGTGAGAGTGAGAGCGAGAGAGAGAGAGAGAGAGAGAGAGAGAGAGAGTGACGAGAGCGGGGCAGCGAGAGAAAGGACGGGGCGCGTTTGCTGCAACGCGAGCACGGGGGATGCAACGGAGGTCCGTCAGAAGCGTGGCAGTTACTTTCGCACTGTTCGCCCGGCGCCTGTAGAGCTCGGCGACCCTCTCACGCGACATCCGGCAACGACGACTCCGAAAACGGGGCTACAACATCCGCCGGCAAAGTGCATCTTCGCCGTAACTCAAAGTGACTCGCGCGCGATCCTCCTCAAGAGAGTTCCGCGTCGTATGATACCGTGGGAGACGTAGAGGGCCTGAGGTCCCCGGACCCTAACATGACCGGTCACTCGTAACCGCCGCGGAGAAGCCAACGTGCCGAGCTAACCTCCAAATTTAGAGCACGGAACAGGATCGCAGACGCGATCTCCAATCAACGATGGTGGAGAGCGGCTACAGCGGCGACTCGTCGCGCTCTCCCATAACCGAGTCTCCCTCGCCACTGCACCATCAGCAGCACCAGCAGCGCCAGCACCCGATCGACCAGAGCTACAGTCAGCAGACCGCGCGGCTTCTCTACTCGCGCTCCTCCCCCGAGCCCATCGTCCTCCTACAGCAGCAGCAGCAGCAGCAGCAGCAGCAGCAGCAGCAGCAGCAGCAGCACCACCACCACCATCATCATCATCACCAGCAGCAGCAGCAGCAGCAGCAGCAACAGCAACAGCAGCAACAACAGCAGCATCAGCAACAGCATCGCAGAACGACGACGGCGACGTCGACGACAAGCGCGAGCTCCACGACCGCGGGAGCGGCATCTCTTTTCACGATCGACAGCATACTGGCGCCAAGGCCTATGGGTAACGCACCGCCGTCCGTCGGGATCCGGGCCGCCGAGGGCGGAGCCGTCGCCGCCGCGGCCGCCGCGGCTAACGCGAGGACAGCGGCTGCGGCCGCAGCAGCTGGTGTACATCCGCTCCAGCAGCAGCTACATCACCTCGCCTTCACCTCGGCGGATTTCCTTGGTGAGTAAATACGACATCCTCCTTACAATTCACCAATTGGCCGCAAATCTCAAGGACCGAGTCAAACTGACGCGAGAATCGAATCGAGGACACGTGTTGATTTTTCACCGATAATTTTCACTCGAGTTTCTTCAATCTGACTCTTATCATTTTCCTTATACTGTTTTAAGCTTATCGCGCGTCGATGCCTCGTAATTTGCGTGTTACGAGCTTTCCACGTACGTGACATCCCTTTACAAATAGCCGAGAGATAACATTTTAATCTCAGGCTATACACGCGCATATATATACACGTGTACATCCTCGCGCGCGCACGCACGCATCCACCCACTAACTAGCGCATTTTTGTATATTCACGTGGATGTGTGTATGTGCGCTTATGCTAGCGCTCGTACATTTTCATTGCTGTACATATTTTCTAGGCAATCTTCCACGATAAGACAATTATTTTTAATTTATTGCATTTATTGCGGGAAAAACAGATTCTTTTTCAAGTAAGACGTATTCTTTTAAATGTAAACTAATTCTACTGACCATGATGAAATTGCAATACTCCTTCGTTATAAATTTTTACATTAAAATTTTAACATGTTATTTAAATTGTAAATTCCTATTCGTCTTAATTTTATTATAAAACTCATTGTCGAACGATGACTTATGAGAAAAGTTCTATTGTAAAGTGTGAATTATTCAAAATAAAACTAATATAACTGTATTTATATTCTATTTTAATTTAAAAATATAAAATCACTATTCACTCTTTTGAACTCTTTATTCGTCAATTTAATATGCTTAATAAAACGTGCTTATTTAAATAATTTTATATAAATCTCAACTTGATATATCCAGGACATTCAGATATGTAAGAGATCAGGATAGATTTTTTAGAATAAAGCTCTCAATATTTCAATATTTTATTAAAATTGATAATTATTAAAAATTATATATTTTACTTTTAAATTTCAAATAATGCTCTTCGTAGTTTTCATTTACTTCGAAATAAGATTGAAATTCGAAAAATAACATAAGTTCAAATTTATAAAGCTAACATGAAATGTTTGGGTAGCTAGCATGTACACGCACGTACGCACGCACGCAGACAGACATATATATATATTCAAAATAATTAAAAATCTAAATGAAAATTATTATCGACTCTAGTCGGTAAAAGATATTATGATAATTCATTTTTTTTTTAAATTCGTATTATTGATTGGCTTTTTAGGGCATTACTACTGATATAACCGTCAACTATTATATTAATGTAGAATAGAAATATGATTAATGAAATAGAAATTATAAAATTTTATAAATTGTGATATCTTGCAAATTAATTTGAAATACTATTAATAGTATTACGACGAAAATTTATTTTATTAAAGTGCAATCTTTTATTTTTTTCTTTGTATAATATTTAACTAAACTAAGGGGTTATTATTTTAGGAATGGTAATGTCTAAAATTTTATTATTATTCGTAAATGAAACGTCCTGAAATTTAATAAATTTAATGAATTTTATCATTGATCATATTTACAAAAACTTAAGTAAATATTACTTTGTAAGAGAAAATGTTTTGAAAGATGACTAAAGATTCTTTGAAATCTACGATCATTTACAATAAAATAGAATTATATATTTTTATAAAGTTACAAAACGTTTATAAAGTTAAGTTTTTATTAATTTAATTTATGTTTATTGCAACTGCGTTTGTTTTAATATTTAATTATGAAAATTTATTATTTCTTGATAATAATTCAACAATACCTTCAAAGAATATACATATTTCATGAAAATTGATATTATTTCGCTGTTATTTACATATGTTTTTGTTTTTTGTATGTTAAGTATATGGAGTCAATTGTCTAAAAAGTCGATGATATTTATTCAGATATTAAGAAATTATCTAATTACAAATGGAGGGTAATTTGCACGCATACATAGCGTCTATACTGTACATAAATTAATTAAATTGGAGTTTAAATCGAGGAAACTTATGATATGGAATAGCAATGAAATGCTATCCATTCGTTCGAAAATTTATACTTATAAAATAATTATTATTAATTATCATTAGTGGCTATTGTAACGTGTAAATTCTATAATTTTAAATCAAAAGTAAATGTTACATACGTAACGATATCTGAATTAATCCACACAATTATATTATAACAATTTAATTAATAACCATTACTAAAATGTTGTATTTTCACAAACGATAATGAATACATTGCTAAATAATTCATTTACTGGAATATGCATTACTGAACAATAATTGAAAAGTAAATAAAATTTTGAGCATTATTAGATTTATCTCCGAGACCGTGAAAATAAATGACTTTTTCACCGAATCATAAAAAATTTCTCTAAGGATTTCCTGTCAGTCTCGACAAATCTTCTTAAAACACTCTACTCTTGGCAGCGGAAGCAAAGAAAGCGCGTATTTTAATAGGCAAGTGGAGATTTTGCTGTGTCGAAATTCCTTGATTCCTCGAGTAAGCCGCGTCGCGACTTTCTCTGCATCGTAGAACGCGCAAAGGAATTTTAACAGGAAACGCGAAAAGAAGATGGTTTGGGATGGAGGGCAAGAAGAGGATCCTTCGGCGAAAATCCTCAGGGATTTTCAAGGCGCTCGGCCAAGATGCAGCCAAGTGTGTTGAAAAGTATCTCTCTCGCTCTCTCTCTCTCTCTCTTTCTCTCTCTCTCTCTCTCTCTCTCTCTCGCTTACTCACTTTTATTTGTTTTCTTCTTTTTCCGTACTTCCCTGACACGCCATATTTCCATCTTTTTTGCACGAGCGTAAGCAAAAAGGAAAAAAAATGATAAACACGTTAAGAATAATATTACGCAAGACATAGCAAGGGTTGCGAAGATTGAATAAGTAGTTGTAATGAACGGTGCTTTATAGTATTCCAATGAATTGGAAATTGAAAATGTTATCAACCAGAAGGAAATATATTTTGTTAAGCACATTCGAGCAAATTCAAATTGCAGTTATATTATGCCGATACTTTTACAACGTTAAAACTTTGGTGCCAATACCATTAGTCTTAATTACAATAGTTTTCCTAATAATTATAAAAAATTTATGTTTTATGTCTCTCTGTCTCTCTCTCTCTCTCTCTCTCTCTCTCTCTCTCTCTCTCTCTGTGTATCTGGTGGAATCGGATTATTTGTCTTATACTATTAGCAACTAAAATGCAAGTGTCAGCGGGCTAGTTTTGCTCTTGCTTGAAAGCATTACGTTATAAATTCACTGATTATACAAGACCGTTCATCGACGATTTTTACATTCACTGTATTCGTAATGATTATTTGTCAACGTAATTCATACATCGACGAGCCGAAGCAACCCACTGAGCAAAATCGTGAATCCATTTCCGTGACGCTCGAGTGGCCGTGAGATAAATCCGATGTGAAATATCGTACGCCAAACCTAAGAGAAATATATTCTCAGTGCCGGGGCCGCGAGAAAAACATTATGCTTAAGCTGCTTTTATGGCTTCGAGAGTAAAGCATCCCCGGGGATCAGGGCATCCCCGCGCACGCGACTCCGTCCTTGTCTCGCTCGATATTTTTCTGCACACCCGCGGCCACTGTTAACCGCGTCCTCGAACTCCCGAGGACTTGCGTCGCCGAGGCGTTTCTCCGCCACTGGGACATCGAACGTGGATTATAATTTTTAAAGCCATTTCAACATTATCATCAACAAGTTTCAGATGAAAGCAGTTGCAGCGAATATTCATTCATTAAATCATGCACGTCTGAATAAAGCTTCGTTCAAACATTTACGCTCAACGACAAATAAGCAACAACAAATCGATTAATCTTGTTCATTACATAAATTGTTAATTAATTTTTAAGAATATGGCTTTCTCCTACACTTAATTCCTAAAACTATATGATTTTTTTTTTTTTTTTTTGGGGGGGGGGGGGGGGGGGGGAGATTTAAAAACATTCCCAATTCGAATGGAGAATACACGAATTTTGCATTATTTACTTCAGTCTAGTATTATTACTAGTATTATTTGCTGATTTGCAATAAATTTTACCCTGGCTATTTACTTTTCCATCACAATTATTACCCGCAAGAAACTAATTGGGCGGTCGAAACCGTGCGAATTTATTGATAATATTCAAACAGAGGGCGGAGCATTGGCAATCGATCGCAAATAATTACAAACAATATAAATAATGTAAATATCTTTGTACCTCGACGAACGGCTGGCCAAACAAAATTGCCCGTTAAGCAGCGGCGTGCGAGCTAATCGACCTCGCCATTTGCCCCGACGATGCTTAAACGATGCCTAAGCGTGCGCTTATCCGCCAAAATAAAATTAAGCGCTCGACACTTTCGCCGACGACGAGTACGCGCAACCGAGACTCCCTCTACCATTATTCGGCCACTTGATTTGCAGCTGCGGCATACCCGGGCCTCTACCCTGGTGGTTATGTGGCGGCGATGGCGGCCGCGAGTGTCTCCCTCCACGGGCAGCCGGCATTCTACCACGGGGCCCATCCGTACCAGCTGAGCCCGGGCGGGGCCCCGGGCGTTGGACCCATGGCCAAGCGCAAGCGCCGCCATAGGACGATATTCACGGAAGAGCAGCTCGAGCAACTGGAGGCCACCTTCGACAAGACCCACTACCCGGACGTCCTACTGCGCGAGCAGCTTGCCCTCCAGGTCGACCTCAAGGAGGAGCGAATAGAGGTGAGTGCCTGGTAATCAAAACACTCGATGCTACGGATGGATCTCCACCTCCCGGACCAATCGCTTCAATTCATATACCGAAACTTGATCGAGAGCCGCCCTACTAATAATATAAAATACTAAATATCGTAACGAGCAATGTGTCGTCCTATCTCTCTCTCTCTCTCTCTCTCTCTCTCTCTCTCTCTCTCTCGCTGACTCTGGCCCTACGACTCTTTACATCTTCGTATTTGACTTTCGATGGCTATAGTTCACGAAGACGTACCTAAACGAATGCTCTTCGACTTAGTCAATTGTATATAAATTCTATTGCATAAAGCGTGTTTTCTCTTCGTGTAACAAAAAACTTAAAAATATCGCTCGGATAAACGTTATCTGAAATCTCGTTTAAGCGCCTTAATATAATATAAAGACTGTTGTGATATTAAGAAAATGTTAAAAAAATACAACATACACGTGCTATTAATGGACTTAATGACGGACTATTAATTGCACTTCCTTAATTGGCTACTGTCAGTGAAATTCAATACTTTGGGTGAAGTTTCGAGAAGATTGGAAAAGTACTTTCTCTCGTCTCATCGGCTTGTTCTTTCCACTTAATATTGACTCTTGTTTTCTTGGTTACACATTGAAGAATATGAAGAACTTTAAACTTATTTGTATTCTTAGAACTCTTATAAGCACATTGAATACTTTATCTAATATGAGGATTTAGAGCTTGTGAAATACGTGGAAAATTGATTTTACTTTGATGTTTTAGTATACGTATGCAATTACCTTATGAATCTTCGAATTAACATATCAATTTTTCACATTCATTTAATTATACTCTTGATATATATATATATATATATATATATATATATATATTGTTTGAGAAGTCGATCTTTAGTTATAAAAAAAAAAAAAAAAAAAAAAAAAAAAAAAAAAAAAAAAATACAAAAAGAAAAAGATAAATACTGCAATGCTTGGAAGTTTAGGACTCTTCAATAAGTGCAATTATTGGCGACGCTTCCATTTATTCC